CCCCAAAACCCCAAAACCCCAAAACCCCAAAACCCCAAAACCCCTAAAATTAAGGCAAGGATTGCAAATATTTTATAAATATTTTACAAAATATGGATAATTCTGAGCAATACTTTGCTAAGTTTAAAGGTAGGGAGAAGCACCACAGGCTTAATCCATTGATATAGGTGTACTAACTGATTCATACATCAAGCACATCCCTTGTCTGATTGGAAGTGAGAGAAAGAAAATCCTTAAAAGGACAAGGATTTACGCAGAAAAATCTAAGAATCAGCCAATTGAAAAAGTCCCACTTTCTCAAGACTGGCTAAAGCTTGAAGTTATGAAAGAACAAATATCTCATAAGTTGGTTATAGATACATGACCTAGCATAGAAGCGGTACATGCTATCCTGAAGTTCTCGACAAAAGCACCAGAAGGCTCTAAAATTCCTGAAAAGGAGCAAGAAGGATTTTACATTAAAGCTATTTCCCCATTTTTCTTGAACAACAAAAGGATCACTGAAGAAGATGACTATAAAATGTAAGATTTCATGCTAAATCATAGGATAAAGCAGCACGATACCTTGCATTTCCCTTGTGGCAATTGAACCAGTAAGTTCATTCTAACCCATAGTCCCTCATGTTTTCCATCTGATATTACCCATAAGAAGAGTAATCAACGAGAATAGTCAAAAGCCAGGAGCCAGAGAAGTGCCCGGAAAAGATGGAAAATTTAATAAATCTAATATAAGCAGTAAATCTTTAAGCTTGCATTCCAAGCAAGCAAAGATAAAATCACCCAACGAGGAATGGACGAATATCGAAAAAGATACTCTCAAATAAGAACCTCTTACTGTTCGGATACGGCCGGTGGGAGAAGGTCAAAAAGTCCTCGAAGGAAAGCTCAGGGTTTCTCGTTAAAAAGGACATTAGCTACCTCAAAGCATTTGCAAATGGGTTTATCAGAAACATCTATCAATATATTCCTTTTGACAAATCAGAGCTAAGGAAATACCTCCTAAATCTGATTGATGAAAGTGATAACCCACCAGTAGTGAAGACCGATCCTCAAGACTGGGGAAAACTTATCAAAGCTAGATCAACTCCTTGGGGAAAAAGACTTCAATTACTTGACAGAATCAACTTCTTGATCCAAACTTTCAAAGAAAGCAAGAAAGAGTATTTAGAGATGGACCCGATCAAGCAAGATGAAGTCATCAAAGTTGCTTATCAAAGATGGGATAACTTGCTTAATTTCCTACCAGTATCTGCATTCTATGGTCAGAGACCCTCCGCGTGGTGGACCAGAAGGCATGACATTGACTTAATTATTGGAACTTATAAATATGGCTACGCTAATTACACACAAATGAGAAATGATACCTCGTTATCCTTCCATCTTCTTGAGAAAGTCCAAGGTACATTCCAAGAGTTCCCAAATGCTGACAACATCACAAGAAGGTTGAAAAAGTTAGTACAGATGATCGGGAAACAAGCTGAATTTGGTCTCAAATTTGACAACCTTGATGGTCTCAAGGAGCCAACTGGGTACACCCTTTCAGAGAAAGAAGTCATTCTCAAAGTTCTGCTTGATATAGGAATCCCTCTTTCTAAGGATTCCAAGTATGACTGGACTTACCTCAAAGAGAAAATCATAGTTGCAATGGATGGGAAAGACCTAAAAGACAAGAATATCCAACAGCTAGAAAGATTTGTACAAAGAGTAAGGATGATTTGCCAACAAAAGATTTTACAAGAGTCAGAAGGAATAAGCATGTATAAAGATATACCCGCTGTCCTTGATAGTGACGATGAAACTTCCGAGCACAAGAAGCCCAAAACTGAAGAAAAAGAAGGTAAATCTCACATTTAACCCTAGAATCAAAAGAAGACCCCATAGAAGAGTCAAAAATCCCTTTAGAAAACTCCTACTTCGACAACTGCCTCAAATTCGACCCTGACAAAGACGGTTTCAAGCTCACCAAAGAGATCTCCCACGAGCTCCACAAACGCCTAAACATGCTAGACTTCATCCGTAAAGAAATCCTCACCAACAAAGGCAAACTCTTCAAATCCGGCTCCTCCACTCTCTCCTCCTCCCCCAAAATCACCCCTGACCAAGACAAATCCCTCCTCTACACAGTAAGCCCCTTCCTCACCCCACAGCTAAACCTCAACGGCTTCAGTTCCCTCTCCTCCCTCTCCTCCCTCTCCCTACACACCTCCCAAGCCACTACCCCTTCCAACCTACCACCCCTCACCCTGACGGAAGCCCAAGCTTTCGCCCGTATAGAATACCTCTGCGCTCACTTTGAAGCAGTCAAGTACAAAAATAATTAAGGATTTCAGTTGTAAAATAAATTTAGGGGTTTTGGGGTTTTGGGGTTTTGGGGTTTTGGGG